TCTTTAGTGCCACATTGTTTGACTTTGTGCCATCTGCCAACTGAATGTAATGTGAATTGGGTTTGAATGCATCGTCGAAGCTTGTAAACTTGGACTCGTCAGTGATAATGTGGGATGTTGCTCCACAATCAACCAATAACATATCTTGAAATCTCTTATCTTTAACATTTTGTTCTACTTTAATTTGGAATGCAAAAGAATGCTCTTTATCAAAATTTGATGTCAGTTTTACCTCATCTTTTGTCTTTTCTTTCATTCTCTTCTTTCGACATATACTTTCATCATGGGTTGAACTTTGACATGTTTTGCACCACATCTTTTTCGGTTTTTCTTTGTTTGGGCACTGTGTAGCGAAATGTCCCGGTTTTCCACATGAGTAACACTTTTTCTTCTCTTTTCCGTGATTATCATGATTGAATTTCTTGGTATCAAACTTGAAGATCAAATCTTCACCACGATGATCGTCTCGGGCTTGTTCACTTTCTTCAAAACTACGTAACGCTTGCTTAAATGCACTAAATGATTGTTTAGTCTCGCTATGGGTAACAAACACAGAGAAAGGTTTGAACGATTCTGGAAGTCCCTTTAGTACCATGGCTATCAATAATCCATCGCTCACAATTTCACCCGCATTCTTTAAGGCTGTTGCAGCTGTCTCAGCTCGTATTAAATAATCGGTGACAGTTTCACTTGCTGATTTCATCAAAGATGTTAATTGTGTGTACAGTGATATAATTCTTGGTTTGCTCGTCCCCGCGTAATGTCCTTTTAATATTTTTAAAGCTTTTCTACCATCATCGACGGCATCTCTCATAATTAACGATAGACTTTTATCATCGAGAAACTGGATCAACTCGGCAAATGCCTCTGCATTTTTATCTCTGTCTATATCTTCGTCTTCGTCGGCAGTAATTACTTTGTGCAACTTTTGTAAACGCATATATCCGAGGAATTTAATCTCCCATTGCTCATATTTTTGTTCATCTCCATCAAAAAATAGTCGCCCATATCTTCCAAGAACGTCTTTCTTGGGCCCATAACATGTTGACGGGGCGTCTCTTGACATGATGGAGGATAATAAAACGGATTCAATATAACAACAGTTTAATATACGCCAACTTACAGAGTAGGCAGTAGAAGAAGCACATGGAATAATTAATTAGTATTTACATGATAGTTCAGGGAGTTTGAGATCAGACTCCAACAGGCCGCCCGTCTTTGGCTTCTGCCGTTGTCCTGAGTTTGGTCTTCGCGTTGTCCGGTGCGATTTTTTTGCCTACCTATGTTCTTACTGTGTGCTTACTATGTATGCGAACCACGTAAGCGAACTAGGGCTGGGGCGCTTGGATTTGTGTATACTCCTTCTCAAACTGTGAAGTGCGCCAGGACCGGTGCGATTTTTTGTCGGGACACATGTATACATGTACTTCGTACTGTGTAAGAGAACTAGGGCTGGGGAGCTTAGATTTATGTATGCATACTGCCAGGGGATGAAGTGCGCCAGAACCGGTAGTCTCTATACTACTCAGTATGACACGGCATCTGTGAATGTCAAGCGCATCACTGACTCAGAATTATTTATTATCAAACCTTTTCTTCGTGTAAGAGCCGCAATTTTTATAGTGGATAATTTGAAACAAAAAATGAAACCTACTTTCCAGTCGTGGTATTAAATATAGCTTTAAAAGTCACTTATAGAATCATTCAAACGATTTTCATTTGGAATGGAAATAAACATTGATTTGTTTATAGTCATACTTCATACTACGCAATGCTCCTGTATCAAATTTGTTAAGTTAGAAATATAAATACAAAATCTCGGTTAACTTACGTAAAATTATCTTTGTTTTAAGAACAAGACTTCATATACGACGATCTTGTGGACAAAATTATGCTTGCTTTAGTTCTTCACATATTACATACCTAACAAAAGATGAGAAATTTAATATAAAAAACGCGACCACATACATATCAGTTAAAAAATGGTGATCATAGTTAATTTGTACATTATTGAAACATCAATCTTTTATCCATATGAGTTTTGTTACATAAATACATTTAAATAACGAAAGAAGATGAAGAGTGAGTCAGGATCTCCTTCAACAAACAATATTATTCTATAACTAAGTATACATCACTGACTAAAAACAATTGTTATAGAAATATAAATACATAAATAAGAACCTCATGCAGAGTTCATAATAAAATTGTGATATATCGAATTCCAAAGAAGTGCTGTTAAACGTTTTAAAGTTTAACAAGTTTTAACTCAGGAATAGAGAATCACCTATCTAAGACAGGATTTGAGCGTCAATGATTAAGACACGGTTTTCGAAACTGTGAATGGATTTTTCCTTTCATTAATCAAAAATTCCATACATGTATATTCTTGTATAAGTCAGTTCTTATTATAAAAAACCTTTGTTATTGAATAAACCATTGTAAATCATGAATACATTTCAAACATCAACTGCAAGAAATTGTAATTATTTATATGTTCAATAAAAACACGGTAGATACAACAGTAAAGGATGCAATGAAAGTAAACCTTAAAACTTTTAAAGAAACATGATCAAAAGTATAATTTTAAAAGCACACTGTGTTTCATGAATCAACATTTCACAAAAATAGATTCGGTTGCGTTCTTCCTATGTATATATACATTCTTCCTGCGTCTCATTCGCGTATTTGGCTAATTTTCTTACTTTCAAAATAAATGGTTTGCTCAATACAATTAACAACATTTTGTTAGACACACAGCGATTAGTCAAAAGTGGCGTCAGGAAAAAGGGAGGTGATGCATGATTGGACATGTGCCCTCCCTACATAAAGTTTTACAGATCCACCTTTTTCCATATACATGTATGGTCTTCCATAAGTCAAAGTATAACATTAAAATAAGTCAAATTCCAAAGGACTACTGTTAAATAATAAAAAGTTTAACAAGTTTCAACTCGGGAATAAAGGGATCACCTTTCTAAAATAGGATTCAAATGTGAATGATTAAGACACAATTTTTTAAAACTTTGAATGGAATTTTTCACTTCATTAATCAAAAATTCCATACATGTATATTATTGCAAAAGTCAGTTTATATTATAAAAAGACCTTTGTTATTGAATTACCCATTGTAAATTATGAATACATTTTAATTATCAACTGCACGCAATTGTAAATACTTTTGATCAATAAAAAACACTATACATATAACAGTAAAGGATGCAATAAAAGTAAATCTTAACACTGTTAAACTAACATATGAATAAAAGTATAATTTTAAAAGATCACTGTGTTGCATGAATCAACATTTCACAAAAATAGATTCTGTCGCGTTCTTCCTCTGTGTGTAAATACATTCTTGCTGTGTTTAACATTTGCTTATTTTTCAAATTGTCTTACTTTTAAAAGAAATGGTTTGTTGTATACAAATATCAACATTTGGCCAGACACACAGAGATTAGGCGAAAGTGGCGTCAGCAAAGAAGGGAGGTGATGCATAACAGGATATGTGCCCCCTCCCCTACATAAATTTTTACAGGATCCCCTTTTTCCATAGACAAGTATAGCTTACAAAGAAAAATTCAGCGTCCTACATGTAGAAAATGTTCTCATGTTATTCTTTCTCCCCATACGTTTGAACAGGCTGTACTGTCCTTTACAATGCAGCTTATTGTCAATAGTTAGAAAGTTGGTGTATCAACTTAAATATGATTTCTCTTGAATGTTTAGTCATACTTTATCGAGATGCTGCTTTATCTAATTTGTTATGTCGATAATGTAGTTCCAAAATATCGCTTAATTTTTCTAAACTTACCTTCTTTTTACATAAACACTTTTAAACAGCGAACGAAGATGAAGAGTGAGTCAGGATCTTTTTCAACAAACAGTATTAAAACACATTAATGACATCTACGTAGAAAATTCTACTTATATAACTAAGTATACATCACTGAGTAAAAACAATTGTTATAGAAAGAAAAATACATAAATAAGAACCTCATGCAGAGTACATAATAACATTGAAATTAGTCAAATTCTAAAGGAGTACTGCTAAATCTTATAAAGTTTCACAAGTTTTAACTCAGGAATAGAGACTCGCCTATATAAGACAGGATTTGAATGCCAATGATTAAGACACGATTTTCGAAACTGTGAATGGATTTTCCCCCTATATTAATCAAAAATTCCATAAATGTATATTTTTGCATAAGTCAGTTCTTATTATAAAAAACCTTTGTTATTGAATAAACCATTGTAAATTATGAATACATATCAAACATCAACTGCACGCAAGTATAGTTACTTATGATCAATAAAGAAACTGTAGATACAACAGTAAAGACTGCAATGAAAGTAAACCTTAACACTGTTAAACTAACATAACATTTCACAAAAATAGATTTGGTTGCGTTCTTTCTCTGTGTAAATATATTCTTGCTGTGTTCAACATTTGTTTATTTTACAAATTTTCTCACTTTTAAAATGAATGGTTTGCTCAATAAAATTAACAACATTTTGTTAGACACACAGCGATTAGTCAAAAGTGGCGTCGGCAAAAAAGGGAGGTGATGCATGATTGTACATGCTATCCTTTCTACATAAATTTTCACAGATTCCCATTTTTTCCGTAGACAAGTATGCTATTTCCCATACCTTTGAACGTGTTTTGCTTTCCTTTGCCATGCAGCTTATTGTCAATAGTTAGAAAATTGGTACATCAACTTAAATATGATTTCTCTTGAATGTTTAGTCATGCATTATCGAGATGCTTCAGTGGCAAATTTTTTATGTAAAGTTAGTAATATAGTTTCAGAAACTCGCTTTACTTTCGACAAATTACCTTCGTTTTAGAAATAAGGCTTCATATATGACGACTGTGTTGACAAAATTATGCTTGCTTTAGTTCTTTACATGTCACATATCTTACAAAGATGAGAGATTTAATAAAAAGAACGCGACTACATACATATCAGTTTGACAATGGTGGTCATAATTCATACCTTATTGTAACATCAATCTTTTATCCATGTAAGTTTTGTCACATAAACACTTTTAAATAACGAACGAAGATGAAGAGTGAGTCAGGGCCTCCTTCAAAAAACAGTATTATAAGTTATCAATGACGTCTATGTAGAACATTCCAGTTATATAACTAAGTATACATCACTGACTAAAAACAATTGTTATAGAAATAAAAATACATATGTAAGAACCTTTTGTAGAGTACATAATGACATTGAAATTAGTCAAATTCTAAAGGAGTACTGCTAAATCTTATAAAGTTTCACATATTTTAACTCAGGAATAGAGACTCACCTATCTAAGACAGGATTTGAATGCCAATGATTAAGACACGATTTTCGAAACTTTGAATGGATTTTTCCCTTTACTAATCAAAAATGCCATAAATGTATATTCTTGCATAAGTCAGTTCATATTATAAAAAACCTCTGTTATTGAATAAACCATTGAAAATCATGAATACATGGCAAACATCAACTGCACGCAATTATAATTACTTATGATCAATAAAGAAACTGTAGATACAAAAGTAAAGGATGCAATGAAAGTAAACCTTAAAACTGTTAAACAAACATGTAACATTTCACAAAAATATATTCGGTTGCGTTCTTTCTCTGTGTAAATAAATTCTTCCTGTGTTCAACATTTGTTTATTTTACAAATGTTCTTACTTTTAAAATAAATGGTTTGGTGAATACAATTAACAACATTTTGTTAGACACAAGGCGATTAGTGAAAAGTGGCGTCGGCAAAAAAAGGGAGATGATGCATGATTGGACATATTATCCTTTCTACATAAATGTTCACATATTCCCATTTTTTCCGTCGACAAGTATGTTATTACACCTCTCCCATACCTTTGAACGTGTTTTGATTTCCTTTGTCATGCAACTTATTGTCTATAGTTAGAAAGTTGATATATGAATTTAGATATGATTTCTCATGCATGTTTAGTCATACTTTATCGAGATGCTGCTTTAGCTAATTTGTTATGTCGGTAATTTAGTTATAAAATAACGCATAATTTTTCTAAAATTACTTCCATTTTAGAAGTAAAACGACCTTGTGAAGAAAATTATGCTTGCTTTAGTTCTTTACATGTCACATCCTCAACAAACGTTTGAAAGATTCAATATAAACAACGCGACCAAATACATATCAGTTAAAAAATGGTGATGAAAGTTCATGCCTTATTGTAACATCAATCTTTTATCCCTGTGAGTTTTGTTACATAAACACATCTAAATAACGAACGAAGATGAAGAGTGAGTCAGGATCTCCTTCAACAAACAATATTATGAAACATTAATGATATCTATGTCTCAGTATAGGGAATATACAGTAGGTCCACTTCGTGTGCAACTGGCTGCTGTATATTTAATTTGATTACTGACTGCCGTTAGACATTTTATCATTCCTATTCGTCAAAAAAAGCAATTGACTGGCTGCCACTATGGTAATCACATGCGTAATAAGATATGTGTGGCACGAAAAAATTTCAATAAAGTGGCTCTACTGCATGTTCTTCTAAATTGTGTCTATGTAGAAAATCTCAGTTATATAACTAAGTATAAATCATTGACTATTTAGCGTTATATAAGTCTTTCGTATGAGCTCCGAACGTGAGTTCAATGTACTAGAACGCTATTAAATTTTGTGATTATTTTATTCACTAGCGAAGAAGTTATTTACAACAGTCGTGAGTGTTCTCTCTGTTAGAATTTATTCACAGGCTTTTTATATATTTGGCTAAACAAGGTGCAGTTATTACAAGGCAGATAATGTACTTGAAATTTGAGTAGTTTTACGTAATTATAAAGTTAAGTGCGTAAGTTAAAGTAGCGCATTTGAGTAAGTGTAGGATTGGCTATTTCCTCTTTTGCTAATACATAAATCTAGATGAATAATATACGCACGTGATGTACGTCACTACAGGAGCCCCGGCTAGTGTCAAAATTAATGAAATTAATGAGAAACGATAGAAATATAGCGTTGAGGAAAACGGACACAGCGACCAGAGCGTGTTTGTTTTATTTGTGGTGCTGTAGTTTGACAGTTCTCTTTGTCCTTTTTGGCAGTTTCTTGCGTATGGGTGTGACCAGGGGCACTGGGCATAGGAGGAGCGAGATGTGCAGGCTTGAGACGATCTATGGATATGTTATCGGTGTGATTTCCGAGATCAACTTTAAAATGTTTGTCTGAGCGGGAGAGAATTTTGAATGGACCGTCATTCGGTGGCTGTAAAGGTTTTCGGACTGCATCACGCCGGACAAACACGTGTGTTGTGGTGTGAAGATGGATAGGAATGTGATGAGGTCTTGTTGGGTGACGATCTGGAGGTGGTTGTAAATCACGGAGAGTGCGTTTAAGACGATCAACGTAGGAGGTAGGATCTAGGTGTGAGGTACGAGAATTATGGTGGAAAAATTCATCTAGTAAACAAAGAGGTGTGCCGTATACGCGTTCAGCAACACTGTGTCCAAGATCAGTTTTTAGAGCGGTGCGAATGCCTAGGAGGACAAGAGGTAGACGTTCACTCCAGTGGTTAGGGTCATTGGTGGCTTTCAATGAAGCTTTGAGTTGATGATGAAAGCGTTCAACCAGACCATTAGCGATGGGGTGATAAGCGGTGGTGCGTATACGTGTTGACCCAAGAAAAGACGTGAGAGAAGAGAACAGTTGGCTTTCAAATTGTGCACCTCGATCGGTGGTGATAATTTTAGGAACACCAAAACGGGAGATCCAGTGGGTGACAAAAGCTGTGGCGACCGTGGTGGCGGTGATGTCAGAAATGAGAATGGCTTCAGACCAACGAGTGAAACGGTCAATGCATGTAAGTAGATAAGTAGAACCATTTGATGGCGGCAGGGGACCAACTATGTCGAGATGAACATGGGAAAAACGGTCAGTAGGTATTGCAAAAGTGGAAAGTGGGGCACAGGTGTGCCGATGGATCTTGCTGCGTTGACGAGATAGACAAGTTCGGGTCATTTGTCGTACATCACGGTTCATGTTAGGCCAGAAATACCGATCGGTGATCAAACGTTGAGTGGCTTTTATTCCTGGATGAGAAAGGTTATGCAGGGCTTTAAATATTGTTTGTCTGAACGGCGAAGGAATAAAAGGGCGTGGCCTGCCAGTGGAAACTTCGCAAATGATAGTCTTGTCGGAAGCGGGTATCGGACAACTTTCGAACACCAACGAAGAAGAAGTTTTGCTTTGATACTGTGTAAGCTCAGCATCGTCTTGTTGAGCCACGGCGATATCGTCTATGTTGATCTGGTCAGAAGAAGTGACAGAGGAAACGCGGGAAAAGGCATCGGCCACCGGATTCTGCTCACCTTGGACATGACGGAGGTCTGTGTTAAATTGGGAGATGAAATCGAGGTGACGAATTTCTCTGGGAGAGTGGCGTTTGATATTGTTATGCAAGGCATAGCACAGAGGTTTGTGGTCAGTTAGAACATAAAAAGTTCGTCCTTCAAGGTGGTGACAAAAATGGCGTATGGCAAGATAGATGGCAAGAAGCTCTCGACCAAAAGCACTGTAGCGAGTTTCTGCTGGTTGTAAACGTTTAGAAAAGAAACCGAGTGGTTGCCACATGTTGTTCACTTTTTGTTGTAGAACAGCTCCTACAGCGACGTCTGAAGCATCGGTCATAAGGCAAAGTGCGGCGTTGGGTTGTGGATGAGCCAAGAGTGCCGTATCTGCCAATGCTTTTTTGATCTTCTTGAATGCTGATGTAGCAGAATCAGACCAGTCAAGCTTGGAAGGTTGGGGTTTCTTATGAGAATCCGATGTGCCCAGCATATCGGTGAGAGGCTGAACAACACCAGAGCAGTGCGGAATAAAACGTCGGTAGAAATTTACGAGACCTAGAAATTCGCGAAGCTTGCGGAGAGGATCCGGTTGAGGATAATTGCGGATAGCTTCGACTTTGAGGGAAGAGGTTGGATGCCGTTAGCACTGACCATGTGACCAAGAAAGTCAAGAGATGTTGCTCCAAAAACAGATTTTTGAGGATTGATGACAACACCATACTGACGAAGACGAGTAAAGAGAAGGCGGAGGTGTTTTTCGTATTCGGAGGTGTTAGAGCTAGCAATTAGTATGTCATCAATGTAAACAAATACAAAGTCAAGGCCACGAGTGACTTCGTCCATGAAACGTTGAAATGTTTGAGTTGCATTACGGAGACCAAAAGGCATATGGGTAAATTCGAAAAGACCAAATGGTGTCGTGACAGCTGTTTTGCAGATGTCTTCTTTTGCGACCGGAATTTGGTGGTAAGCACGGACTAAATCAATCTTAGAAAAAAGAGTCATACCGTGGAGATTGGCAGAGAAATCCTGAAGATGTGGAACGGGATACTGATCTGGTACAGTCATTCGATTAAGCGCACGGTAGTCACCACAGGGTCGCCAGTCACCGGGTTGTGGCTTGGGAACCATGTGGAGAGGAGAGGCATACTGACTGCTGGAAGGGCGGATGATTCCAAGATCAAGCATTTGTTGGAATTCTTTTTTGGCAATGTGTAAACGATCAGGTGGGAGACGGCGTGGACGTGCAGAGCATGGGGGACCTTTGGTAATAATGTGATGCACTACTTGATGTTTCACTGGTGTTTCTTTGGTGGTGGGTTGAGTGATTTCTGGAAAGTCTTGTAATACTGATGCAAAAGGTGTGGAGGATTGTGTAGCATGAACAAGAGAAAGAGAAGGCATTGATGTGGCGATTCCATTGACTCGAATGTGTGTTTCTGCATCAATGAGACTTCCTGAGCGAAGGTCGACGAGGAGGTTGAAATGGCGTAAAAAATCAGCTCCAATGATTGCCTGGCGGACGTCAGCGATGGTGAAGATCCATTGAAAATGGCGTCGGCGGAGTCCAAAGTTGAGGGTGATTGACCTCTTACCTTAGGTAGCAATTGTAGAGGAATTGGCTGCTTGGAGGTCATAAGCTTGGCGTTGTCGTCGATCTGCGGAAAGTGGTGGGATGACGCTAACTTCTGCACCTGTATCGATGAGAAATCATCGTTTGGTAGTCTGATCGCTAATGAAAAATAAGCGGCTTTGTGTTGAAGCGCCAGACGATGTTGCCGCGTCTATTGTCTGGCGGTGTAGTTTGACCGTAGCGATGTATGGAAAGTGCAAGGTTGAACACATTTGCGGGCAGTGGCGCCGAACTTGGCGTGATACCAGCAATAACCATTATTGGATGGTCTGTGAGTGGGATCATTCGGTTGCCGATTACGAGAGCGAGGTGGTCGGTTATTTACATCGGACGATGAAGGGAAACGAAGATTGAGAGCCTGTACTGTCGCAGCAAGATCAGAAACTGTCTTGCGAAGTTGATGAAGCTCCCCAGATTTGGCAGATGTGTCAACAATAGGTTCTGTTGCAACGGTCGAAAGGGTGGATGTGGGTTGTTGAATGTTGTTGACTTCTCTAATTTTATCGGCCAACTTGGCAAGGTTGTTGAGGTCAAGAGTCTCCTGTGTAGGTGCCAGAATAGCCTGAACAGTGGTAGGGAGACGTTGTATAAATAATTGTTTCATGATGGATGGGGGCAATGTCTGGGTACCAAGTAGTTGTTCCATCTTGCGAAGGAGTTGGGAAGGTTTCCGATCTCTTAGTTCTTCGCCTGTGAGCAGTTGGTGAAGTCGCTGTTGCTCAGATGTTGAGGTACGGTGGATTAACTCGCGTCGCAGAGTGTCATATGGATCATGAGCTGGGGGTGAAGGATGATATCGCGAACCTCCTCAGCAATTTCGGGTTGAAGGGAACCAACAACGTAAGCGTATTTCTTTTTTTGTGAGGTGATATTGCGCGTCGTAAATTGAGCGTCAATTTGAGAAAACCACAGTTCTGGATCGTTAGGCCAGTATAGTGGAAGTTTGATGCTGATCATAGAAGTGGTTGGTGTGACAAATGAAGAATCTGTCGTTGAAGAAGCGTTGAGTTCATCAGTTGTAGCCATTTCGCCAGTGAAGAATATCTTTCGGGGTCACCAATTTAGCGTTATTTATAAGTCTTTCGTATGAGCTCCGAACGTGAGTTCAATGTACTAGAACGCTATTAAATTTTGTGATTATTTTATTCACTAGCGAAGAAGTTATTTACAATAGTCGTGAGAGTTCTATATGTTAGAATTTATTTACAGGCTTTTTATATATTTGGATAAACAAGGTGCAGTTATTACACAGCGGATAATGTACTTGAAATTTGAGTAGTTTTACGTTAAGTTTTATTATAAAGTTAAGTGCGCAAGTTTAAGTAGCGCGTTTGAGTAAGTGTAGGATTGGCTATTTCCTCTATTGCTAATACATGAATCTAGATGAATAATATACGCACGTTATGTACGTCACTACAACCCTCTTTAAATTCCTCAAGGATACATCATTTCTCTCATTAAATACTTTAACAGTTTGACATCACTTTCTATAAATACCTTTATAATTTATAATTGAACGTTTACATCAGTATTTATACCGGTAAAGCAAGTACAAATAGTCTCGATAATTCGGTCAATTAAATGCCTCTCTGGTTCAATGGAGTCTGGTGTATCGCCAACAATATGACCATAAGCAATGAGTTTCTAAGAACAAAAAATGTTTGATCATGAGATACACCAACTTATAGAAGCAAAATACATGACCTAGATTTGTGAAGGAATACAAAATGGTGGTAAAAAGACACATGTGAAGTTGTGAGGCTTGGGGATGAGTACTGTTGATAAATAAGGATAGCAATATTGACAATTTCTAGGAGAAATTTAGGAGGTAACTAACAAAAAAAAAATACTGGAGGAACTTATTTTGTGCTATCAAATTGTAATAACTTAATAACAATGCGATGAAAGAGTTTACAATATTAAATCTATTTCTTACAACTAAAGACTCCAAGTGTCCTAACACATCAAACAAAAACAACTTACTTGTATACAGTCAAGTGCAATGGGGACAATCCTGGCACATTTTGTTTGACAAGCCAACTCAAAAGGAAGAAAATATTGATCTGCTGTAATGAATGTTTGCTGACCAGGTAGTGGAGGTAGAGTTGCAGAAGAAACATTCCTGAACATTTTATTATAAATAAATCAAACCAACATTCTGGTTTATAAATCTAACTTTTGAACAATAAAACTTAGTAAATTTGTGAGCATGCGTAGTCTGGATATAACTGTGAATTAATTAAGATTGAAAGTTAGTAACTCATTTTGGTCATGTTAAAATTGGAAAATTGGAAAGAAAATTGGACAACTATACATAATTAAACTTACTCTGTAGATTTTTCATTTCCTTGAACAGCGTTTATTTCCTCTAGAATAGATCAAAATCATAAAGCGATCATTTTGTAAAGCAACATTCCTGAACACAGCAGTACATTATATTCATTGCACACGTTGACATACATTTCTCCATAAACATATATACATATAACTCAAGCAGAAGAACATGAACAAGCGATTGACACTAAAAATAACTGTTTGCCACGTATAAAAAAAGAACAAATCATACATTGAGCAATTTTAAAGATACTATGGACAGCGTTCTTTGACATCTTGAATAAAAGATTACTACACTTAATGTTTTGTAGATAGCAAATGCAGAAACTGGTTGACAATGCATATAAACATAAAGCAAATAGAATCCAAATACATCAGCAATAACTACAAAAAACATTACTTATGGATTTATACCTAAAGCCGTTTCGGAAGCTTTCTTTAGTTGTGAATGATGAGACTTTTTTGTTTTTTTATCGAGTAAAATTCTTTGTAAAGCACCAGATAGGAACACGCTCTTTCACGTTCTTCTGCATAACTGAACGATTTAGGAATGAAAATAAAACCTTTCTAAGGCATCTCTATGAATTACTATTCCACTGGAATTCCGCCATCTTTCTGTTCCATTCCATTTAATCACGTGAATATAAGGAAGTATCAGTGAACTCCATAACGTCATCAAGATAATTTACATACGGGAATTGTTGACAGTATAAAACATTTTCTGTCTTTAAGGTCATATGTACATAATAAACGTACAGAAATGATCTCTCACATTTTTCAACTAATGACCATAAAACCCAATGACATGACATGACATCATGATGGTGTTTTATAAATGTGAATTTTTAACGTCATACAAAACTTGTTTCCACGATATTAACATGCGTAAGGTAAATTTTTTTTACAGTTTTTGAAAGAATGTTCATAGAAAGTCACTCTATAATTTAAACAAAATAATCTACATCTACAAAAACACCATATTGTCAAATGACTCACAATGAATGAGTTGTCGATATTCTTTCATTTCTATGTAATGAACGTTTAATATATAATAAAAATAACCACATTATCTGACCATACATTTGTATTAAAAAGTAAACCATCAACATAAAGTTCGTTCAGAGATCAAAGTTTTTTCACTTTTGGTAATTTTCACATGTAAAACAAGCGACCATCCTTACGACAATCAACATCTTCGTGTGATATTCTCAATTTCATCACAACTTTGACAATGTTACAGTGTTGCATTCTCCAAATATAAATTTGAAAGTTGACGGGAATCATAGGATGAAAAAGATCTTTTCTTGACATTAGGAAAAACTAATCTCTCTCTCTCTGTCAGTGATATTTTTACATAATTAAAAACTGACAGTTTTTTCACGGTTAAAACAAAGGATATGGACAATTTTTTCTGCAATATTTTTGAGTTCGTTGTTGATACCATAAATAACTGTCCTTTTGTGATATAAAGAACTTTTTATGTTCGTTTTAAGTGATATGTAATGTTAGTAAATACAATAGGTTAATATAACTACAAAGGTTGAATTAGTGGATTTATTCAGGTACATTGAGTTTTAAAAATTTAATTCCGTATCCACCTTTTGTTACTAAAGCTAAAGTTCCTGTGTTGGAATGCATAGTTATATTAAATATAGAACCTAATGCGCAAGATTTAGCGCATATTTTACCACTCTTTAAATCTACAGCAACCAATAAGTTACGATATTTACCAATGTAATATGATTTATGTAAGAATGTGCTTAACAATAAAAATCCATCAATAACATCCAAAATATTTAGCCAAGTCATACTCACGTAATTGTTTTTATGCACATTAATTACATAAAGGCCAGATTCCAGTATGCAAGTGCCTTTTTGAAAAAAGAATGCAATGACTGCTTGGTTACTATCACTCATACAGCAACTGACTTTAAGACTAGTTACAGTTCTCTGTTCCTGAACAAATTTTTCAATAAAACACGTTTTGAGTAATTTTGCAGTATGCCAAGGTTTCAAGTAAAGTTCATTGTTGTTATTTTCCCATTTCCATAATGTGTATTCTGTTTTGTTCACAGTTAAAATAACAGAATTATCAAGTGATACGGCTGCTGCTTTAATTTGAAAACTATCGACAGGAAGTCTTTCGTTGTATTGTATCTCACCCTTGGTAATTCTAACAACTTGAACAAAATCAAGTTCGTCAATACAAACTAAGACATCAGCAAATGTTAAGATTTTCTTAGGTTTAAATCCAATTGTAACATGCTTTGCTTGAGTAGAATCTACAAAATTTTCAGACGAAGTTGATATCTTCATAAGATGATCAGAACCATCCCATATCCACAGTAAACCATCCGACCACCAACATCCTAATGCATTCTTCAGTTGCATTGGTACAGTTTGAATAATAGTGCAACGTTCAATGCTCCAAATATGAATGTTGACGTGGTCACCAGCAACGAAAGCAGCAAAAAAAGATCCATCCGGTGAAAAACAACAACATTTAATTTCAAATTTCTCAAAGATAAAAGAAGGTCTCCAAAGATGATCAGTTTTGAAAATTTTGAGCTTGGAAAGATACGGCACAACGTAAAATTTCTTGAACAAGATGGGATTGATTTTTCTAAAAGTCCTATCAACACATGGACACCAAACATATGGTAAACAAAATTCGATTTCTCCTTGATCGTTGTATTTTGTCAACTGAGTGATTTCAGAAAGCTTTCCATTCTGACTTGTATGATAAAAAATACAATCACGATAATGGTGTGTTATCCTTAAATGTGAAGGTAGTGAACATTCTAATTTTATTGAAAAAATATCGATTGCCTTTGGGAATTGAAAGACATTCGAAAAGTCGACGACATCTGCACCAAAGAACTCTGAATATTTATCGGTGCATTGTAGTTTTTGGTAATCAACAACGCAGCGTCGATCAATTCTTTGCAAAGTTAATGAATTCCATGCAGTAAACTCTTCTTTAATAAAATATCCATCAAATCTTGCTGTAATAAACAAACCAGAATCTAAGAAAGAGCAATAATTAACGACATCACCTGACTGTAAACATAATAGCAAACGTCCATTGTTAACGTTCCACAACTTTACTTCAGTAGATCCATCACTAGTTACCAGTCTATTTGCGGTAGGTGAAAAGGAGCAACAGCAGATGTTTCCACGTACAAAACGAAATTCCTTTGATGTTGGATAGTCATAGATGTCATACAGCGACAAAAATTCGCCTACATCATCCCAATTTTCCAACTTTGAATCATCAAGTACAGTGCCAAGAATGCATCTTTCTGTAAATTCAGGAAGTTCGAAAATAGATATTTGACCATTTTCATATCCTACAGCAAGAAGTTCTTCATTGGACGACACACAAAGAGATGTAACGTTAGCACGCAAGGAGACAGTCAAATGATGATGGTTTGTTAAATATGTTACGTCTAAATCCTCAAACCAAACAAACTTTCCTTGTTTCAATAATTCCCTTGCCAATAATCTTTTTTCGTTACTGCCATCAATTCTGTTTGCAATAATTTGTGAATAAATTAAGCTATCATCAACCATATATAAGGTATCATCATTAATAAAGTCATATCTCATTCTCATTGACGTAATTAATAAATGAAATAGTAGTTCCTCAAGTACATCTTTTTTCAAGAAAGTTCGTCGTTCCTCAATGATTTTGAGCAATTCAAACCTAATGGTATCCACGTTAATGTCTTCCACACACATTAACCTTGCACAAACCACTTTGACATCTACTGCCCAGCTAACGTCAACATTTTCGCCACATTTTGACATATGATAGAATCCATTCTTCACAGCATATTTAATCATAGCAGTGTCCATCTGATCTTCAAAAATGTTCATCGACTTAATTTGTTTAAACACTTTCTCACAAGCATGCCATAAGAACTTATGACCATTTTTTGGATCAACTGTAAACTCATGCTGTTCGTAACCATCTGATTTTAACCAATCAAATAGAGATTTGTGATACACGGTTAAATAATCATCGTAAACTGGCAAAATTTGAGATAACAGTTCAATGATTTTATTGCGGACTTCAATCTTGATGTCACCAGAAAAATCTAAATAGCTAAGCAGTAAAGTTAATGGAAGAAACTCCCGACAGGCAGCCAACAATTCAGGAAATTGCATGAAAGTAGCTTCTGAGATTACAGAATTTCTGGGACTTTCCTTCGTTAACAATTCTTTTACTCTTTTGAATTGCTTTGTGTAAACACCGCTTAACCCACTAGGGACCAATTCTTGAATATTTTTGGAAGTAAGCTCAATATTTTCTTTATTCAAGCTCAATTGTGCGTAATACGCATAAAGAAATGATCCCTCACATTTTTCAACTAATGACCATAGAACGTAGCTATTTGTCTGAAGTCTCATAATTAATTCCAAGTCTAATTTGTTGTTTTCAACACGATCATCAAAATTACTTCTCAATTGATATCTCAAATACTTGTACAGGTCTTTTTCGTTGTTTTCGTCACGAAGACGAGTTGTAATTTCCACAGGATTCATGTCTTTCAACTCCTTTTGAACAGGAAGTTCTGGACGACTGGTGATGAAGATTTTAATCCATTGAGGCAGTCGGTCAAACTCTTCTGCAATCAATTCCAATAATTCACTTTTGCCATCAACTAGGCTTTCATCTAAGGCATCAATAACCAAAAGCATTGGTTCATGATCTTCCAATGAATGCAATGGATTATTTAATAAAACAATGAATTCATCGGTGATTGATTCTTTGGAATGGTTTCTCTGTATTTCTTCATTCAGTTTACTTTTAAAATTTGATATTGTATCACACAGGCTACTGGCCAATGATTCTATCAATATTCGAGGGTTTCTATAATCTGATCTATTATATCTGCAGAAATGGGAAGCAGCAAGTTTCTTCTTTTCAGAATATCGTCGACACACCTCAGCAGCAAACACACTTTTACCAACGCCTGGACCGGCAATCAAAATCATGACATTAGAAGCATCTTCACTTTTATCGTTAAACCAAGTGTCGAGTTTTTCAAATAACCATTGTCTAGTGCCTTCAAGGTATTTCTTGTTAAGATCTTTTATAAGACCGTTAAACTTACACTTTCCTAGCTTCTTGAGATCTGAGTATGTTTTGTCCTGTATCATTTCTTTTACTCTGGTTACATCAGCTTTTGTCGCCATGTCTTGTTTAATTTCAACTACATCAACTTTTGTTGGCATGCTTTCTTTCACTTCTTCTACTTTATTTTTCATAGCTTCAAACTCTTTTTTTAATTGTTTTACATTTTCGTTGGTTTTCTCAGCAACATTGATTAATTGTTGTTCTTTTTCATACCAGTTTTTCAATAATTCAATATGGTTTGCCTCATCAGGACTGAGGGGAGCTTTCTTCACTTCATGTATTTCAGTTTGTTGAATACCCAGACCAACCAATGCTTTTGAAATTTCCTGCCACAAATGCTCAAACTCACTGTCATCTACACTAGTTGTAGTTATGTGACCGTACACTTTGTTTCGATAAAACTTTATTCTTGCAATATTTGCTGATATTGAAGTATCTGAAGAGGAAGGAAGATTATCCCATCCTCCAGATGGTGCTGTTAGACCACAAATATTTCTCAATAAGACAGTCAATAATGAGATGTCAAAGTTGTCAATGTCAGGTGATGAGCCATTTGACGGGTAAAGAAGCTCCCATTGCTCTTTACTGATGACCCTTTTGTTTTTAAGCAAAGTCAATTTGTTCATTGTTGAAAGATCTTTAAGTTCATTGATCAAACTTGATGATCGAAAGTTAAAAGTAAATCGCAATGTTGTTTTCAAAGCTTGGGTTCCTTTATTTACCAAAATTTTACTTAAACGAGATCCATTTGCCTCAATCTTCAGTTTTTTAGGTGCTGAAGCCATTTTCAAAAAATAAATTTATTTAGAATATGTTGTGAATACTCTGACTTACTTTTAATGGAGATTGAATCTTTGGTTTTAATCGTGAAGCCTTTATTTGAACTTTAAACTAAAACGAAGAAAAATAATGGTACAAAAATTAGTTACAAAACTTTAAAATGAAACAAATCAACGGCCTATTGAAAAACCTACATCAAAGTTTAAATACAAAACGTTTGAAAAATCTGTGATACAATATAACGAGTAGCTAAACAATGTTTTAAAATCAATGTTTTATGGAATTTTACTCACCAAATATGACCCAAAACGACTATTTCTACATTTCAACACTTATTCTTTTGTTCCATAACGTAAATTCAGAGTTTTATAATGAAATATTTCTTCATTTTTGTCTTTCATTGTATTGCAGTGTAGACTGTGTATTCAAATGTAAAGGATGGGCTCATTACGAGATCATTCTGATTCACTTCCTTGTAACTGGATACAGCTGAAAAGAAGTTAACGATCATGTTCATTGTCCATATATGGTACTGACCAGATTTATGTTTTTTACATAGACTTTTATAATAAATTACCAATATGATTCCGAAAAATTATTAGAATAAAAAATAGGCCAAAATGTATCCAAATATCGATCCAAATGGCCATTTTTCGTCAAAGTTTGAGTTTCCAAACCAAAGATCAGCAGCTATAGTCAGACAATAGTTGGTACTACTTGAGTCAGTCATTTTCAAACGAATAAAACGATCATTAAAAAATACATAAATTATATTGAATTCTTTGTGGCTTTAACCTTTTGTGCTCATAAAAAAATTGGAAAAACTGAAAAACAACAAAAGAAATGAGCAACAGACAGTTTTTCTTGCAACGTGACCTGCTTGTCGTAAATTTTATCAATTTATCAATGATATGGACGATGTAAAACTTATCAGTATAAAATAGTATACGGAAAGAAATTTTCATAAACAATAAAAACAAGTGAAGTATCTTTCTCTTTCTGTAAGCACGAACATTACTAAAGAAGTAAGAGCATTGTAAAATGTGAACTATTTACGTTAAATTACGCACAAGCATTTGTCATGGGAAGTTCAAAGCATTGAGTTGCTAAGGAAGACCTTCTTTCCCATCGTGGCAAAGAGGAAACTTTGTAATTTTATATTGTTGAATGTTTAGTATATATAGAGGCTGCAAACGCTGTTTCTGGTTGTTTCAATACGCTTTTTTGATGGTCGCATTTCATCGACGCATTTCATTAATGCATTGTAACGCATTGAGTCGAAGTCTTGAACAGACGAATTGGATAAGCATTTTTTGATTGTAATACTCGTGGTAATGTAACAGCGTTTGTCGTCAAAAGAATCGTGATTTAGCATCCCGCACAACAGAAAGTTTAGGTTGTGCGACAATGGCATTATAAATCTATAATTACCTATCAATGTGGTAATGTATAATTGATGCATATCGTTCGTGGTTGATTTAAATAATAAAATATAGTCGTTTTGATTGATAAACAGATCATTTGTGTTTACAAGATGAAACGCAATTTGATATACTAAGCATAAATATATATTATCGTATTGTCCAATAGATGTAGCGCCATTTATCTTATAGTTTCGTTTCACGTTGATTTTTCTTTTCTCAGAAGTTAGAATCGTCTTATATACGGCATAATATCATCTGTGTATCTACTGAAAACGTGGATGCAGAGTCAATGAATCCAAGTGGACGAGTATTCTGCCATTTAGTCAAACCTTTTATACAATACCGATAACGACTAGCTAAACAATACCGCTTTAAAATCAATGTTTTACACAATTTTACTCACCAAATATGACCAAAGCGACTGTTTCTTCATTCCCACACTAATTTTTTCGTTCCACAACGTAGAGTCACAGTTTTATATTGAAATATTTCTTCAATTTTGCCTTTCTTCGTATTGCAATGTACACATCATTGAAATGTAAAGGATGGGCTTATCACGAGATCATTCTGATTCACAGCTTGTAACTGGACACAGCTGAAGAGTAGACAACAATCATGTTCATTGTCCATATATGGTTCTCACCACATTTATATTTTTGCAGAGACTTTACCAATAAATTACCGGAGAAAGGATCAGTTACACGAAGGTCGAATAACGCTATCCATTTAACTAAGTAGCAACGTTTTTGAGCGCTTCAAAAATATCTTAAAAGGGAAAAATCAACGATTCGAACTGGACAATAAATGAAATACAATATTGGTTCTAGAATTACAAAGTTTCATCATCATAAACAAAATATAACCATGCACATTCACAATTTTAAAAAACTACTATCCAATGGATAACGCTATCCACGCTTTATGCAATAGGCTCCAGTATAAATTTCAAAAAAAATTTTAAGAGAATAAAAACCAAAAATTGTCCAAATGGAAATCGCCAAACTGTTTTTCCGAAATTCCTGGGTCAAAGATCAAGAGACGTATTGATGTAATGGGTACTAAGCACCGATCGGCATAACAGATGATGATGATGTTGATGAAACTTTATTAAAAGAGGGTAAACACGTGACACAACAAGTGTGAAGAACTTGTGGCCCTCAAACTAACAAACTACGAGATCAATTACAATTTAAAAACCAGAATTACACAAGACTAAAAATACTAAAAAAACTAAATAATAAATTATTCTATGAGCATATCTGAATTAGCTTTATCATAAAGTTTCTTTTTAAAAAGTGAAGCTGATGAAACTTTACGCATAGTAAGAGGTAGACTGTTCCAAAATCGACTTGCAGTAGCAGCAAAAGATCGCCCACCATCATTTTGTCTCTTCGTTTTGGGTAAACAAATAGTTAAGTCTTTATAACGATTATTTCTATTGTGGCGACTGGAATTTGTTGGTAGAATATCAATAATATAAGATGGACAGTTACCATAGAAACGTTTATGACAAATCATGGCCTTTCTAATTTCCACTTCCTTACTAAAAGGCATCCAGCCCAATTTGGAAAAGAGTTGAATACTTCTATCGCGTGTTGAGGCATCTAGAATTACGCGAGCTGCTCTCTTTTGTAATTTTGTAATTTGATCCAATTTATCTTTTGTGGTATTTGACCAAACACAGCTACCAAACAATTTCTTAGTAAGTAATTTTTTTCAGACCTTCAATTTCATATTGTCGTATTGTAAAGAATCTACGAAAATTTGACAAAACTTTTAGATTCAATAAATGATTAACTTCATTAAACTCCTTAAAAAATATGGATATGTACCTCATACGGTTTTGATACATGGTTGGATACTCTTTTCTGTGATGATTTTTGTATGTAATTTATAATAACTTCATAAAATAGAAAGTTTGATAAAGGCTTTGAAAATTAAATTAATGTTCTGTTTTTATAAAAGATCAAATTGTCTTCCGAGCATATTTTTTCTTATATTTATATAACAAATAGCTCTTTCCCTTGAAAGAGACATCGTTCCTGCATGTTCAATATAGTACGAGAATATTTTTTATGAACTTTATGTTATATCTGGTGTAGGTGACGTAATATTAAAAATAATAAAAAATTAGACTAAAAATGTAAAAAACATAGGAATACATATGTCGTTACCCTCGTTAAATTCCTGACGGATATATCATTTCCCTCATTAAATACTTAAACAGTTTGACATCACTTTTTATAAATATCTTTATAATTTGCATTTCAACGTTTACATCAGTAATTATACGGGTAAAGCAACTACAAATAGTCTCGATAATTCTGTCAATTAAACGCCTCTATGGTTCAATGGAGTCTGGTGTATCGCCAACAATATGACCATAAGCAATGGGTTTCTAAGAACAAAGAATATCAAATATAGAACTTTATATGACCTACATAGACATATGAAGGGATAAAGGATTCTGGTGAAAAGACACATGGGAACTTGGAGGATTGGATATGAGTAAGTACTGTGGATAGATAAGGATAGCAATAATGACAAATTTTTTGAAGTATGTATCCTCTAGATTATTCTGGGAGGAATTTAGGAGGAAAGTAACTAAAAATGTTCTGTAGCAACTTTATTTTGTGCTATCCAACTGTAATGGCTAAGAGACAACGCAATGACAATGTTTCCGAGATTAAATCTATTTCTTACAACTAAAGACTCAAAGTGTCCTAACACATCAAACAAAAACAACTTACTTGTGTACAGTCACGTGCAATGGTGACAATCCTGGCACATTTTGTTTGACAAACTTTTTCATTGATTAAATTTATTGCTAACAACTAAAGATGCCAAGTGTCTTTTCTGTATATTACATATTAGGGAGCTTTAGCTAGAGTACGACTACGACAACGAGTACGAAGTTTGACCGTGTAAGGGAATGGCACGAGGAAGTTTGTTGTCGTTATCGCTTCGTCAAAATTTAGTTATAAACAACAGAACGAGCCTTTTTATTGTGAAAAACACCGAAGTTTGCGAAGCAGCTACGGCTCTATTTGTCAATTAGGATATCAATGAATCGGTAACACTGATTTTACAAGAATATAGGACTCTTTAGACGGAAAAATCTTCACTATTTTAAGTTTTATGTACGATATATTTGTACTATTTTATTGTTTGTTTACCGTTCACTTTGCGTACGAAAGACATGAAACTTTTCAGGGTCATATTTTCCTTTTAAATGTACATCTGCGCTCAAAAAGGGTTCTAAATTAAAGCCTGGATGCTCGAAAATAGTACTGTAAACTAATTTCTTACATAAAGAAAAAATATACCTACATAAAAAGACATTGTAGTCGCAACTACGAATTTTTTTACAAAACATCGTACTCAGATTGCTGAGACGGCTACGTGTTTTTGTTGTCGCAACAATGTTTTCGCGCCAAAATGACGTAAATCGTAGCCGTAGTCTTTGCTAAAAAGCTCCTTATTCTGTGCTTAAGCTAAGAACTTTGTTATGGCACCAAGGGGAACTCTGGTATAACAACATTACGACAAAGCAATTTATCTCAGTATTACCTACAATGACCGTAATTACAACTGACCTGTAATTCAGCCATAGTATCTTCATCTTCTCGCTTGCTGGTGCTTGGGAAAAAGACGACATTGTCAATCATTTGGATAAGTTCCAATTGAACGACACACTTAATGATCAATGAATTGAACAGCATCCTCTCCGTCTGCACAACTAAAATAATGAGATGATTTTACGACGTTAAAGTACAGACATGAAAAAATAAAAAAATGTCACTCGGGTGTTGGTTGAATATTTCCGTATTCACGCTCAGACGATTTTTTCATCTGTCGGTAAAATCAAACTTTTGAATATGCCAAACAAAGGGCTAATTTATCTTATATGAGGTCTTCTAAAATAAAATAAAATAAGCAACGAATGCAAAAAAATAAAACAAAAATGAGTTTCTTAAGTCAGTGCTATTTTAAAAAACACTTGAGAAAAAACGACGATTTTTTTGAGAGCAAACATGTTTCGACATTATCAGAATGCCATCTTCAGTGCAGAATGATTAGTGTTAAGTAATATGATACATAATATGATATGAGTAAATTAATTACAATGAGTATTAAGTATTAATAACTATAACGTAAGTTCTAAAAATAAGTATTAAGAATTTATAACAAAAGTATTATTATAAAGTAAATATAGTGTTGTAGTGGTGAACTTGGATATTTAAATCGGGATTAGTTTTATTAATGTGTAGAGCTTCCTTGATTTTGAGTGAGAAAGTGGATTGATCAGTGTCGATGATTTTAAAACAGGAAGGTGAGAATTTGTTTTTACATGAAGGAGAGGCTTGAAGATGTTTGTAGATAGTGGAATTTTTGTCTGTGTGAGTATGTTCCTTTATCCTGGTAGATAATTGGCGAGAAGTTTCACCAATATAACGGGAATTACATCCCGCACATGAAAATTGATAAACTACCATAGATTTGGAAAGTTCGGGAAGTGGGTCTTTAAACGAAAATAAAGATTTTATTTTAAAAGGTGTGAAAATAAGTTTAACGTCAATGTCAGTGCAGTAGCGTTTAATGATTTGTGTGAGTTTGCGTTGTGTGTGTCGTGAGTAATCACCTATGTAAGGTAGTTTGAAATAACGTTTATTGTCAGGTTGTTGTATATCGTTAGTGTTAGTTGTGGAGTTAGATGAGTCAGTGCTTTTCTTGTTGTCCAAATAGTGTTGTATAGTGTTGTTGATGAAATGAAAAGGAAAAGAATTACGTTGGAGAGTGAATATTAGTTTGTTTAAATCACGTTGAAAGCCGATGTCTGTGTTGTTAAGTTTCCGTGCTCTGTCGGTCAGTGTTCGTATCAGTCCAATTTTGTAATTTAATGGTGTGAAACTAAAAAAAGTTAGTCAGTAGTCCTGTATATGTTGGTTTGTGGTACGTAGAGGTCATACAGTTTTCATGTGATTTAGTTAGTAAGATGTCAAGAAAGGGTAACTGATTGTCTTGTTCGGTTTCGTATGTAAAGTTTATGCTTTGATGTTGTTTGTTGATGTATTCGTAAAAGAGTAATGCTTCGTCTTTGTTATGAAAAATACAAAAAAATGTCGTCAACGTATCTGCGGTAAAATAAAGGTTTGTTGTTGCTGTAGTTATTTAACCAGTTTCGTTCGTGAAAACCCATGAAAATGTTGGCTAGAATGGGTGCCAAGGGTGAGCCCATACTTACCCGTCAATTTGGTCGTAGTACTTACCGTTAAATAAAAAATGAGTCTCGGCCGTAGTGATGTTAAACAATAGTTTTAGTTCTGTTCTGCTCATTTTGAATGTAGGGTTCTTGGTAAAAATTAAATCAATAGCAATGTCTATGGTTTCGGTCGGTGATATGTTGGACTACGGCCGAGACTCATTTTTTATTTAACGGTAAGTACTACGACCAAATTGACGGGGTAAGTATGGGCTCACCCTTGGCACCCATTCTAGCCAACATTTTCATGGGTTTTCACGAACGAAACTGGTTAAATAACTACAGCAACATCAAACCTTTATTTTACCGCAGATACGTTGACGACATTTTTTGTATTTTTCATAACAAAGACGAAGCATTACTCTTTTACGAATACATCAACAAACAACATCAAAGCATAAACTTCACATACGAAACCGAACAAGACAATCAGTTACCCTTTCTTGACATCTTACTAACTAAATCACATGAAAACTGTATGACCTCTACGTACCACAAACCAACATATACAGGACTACTGACTAACTTTTTTAGTTTCACACCATTAAATTACAAAATTGGACTGATACGAACACTGACCGACAGAGCACGGAAACTTAACAACACAGACATCGGCTTTCAACGTGATTTAAACAAACTAATATTCACTCTCCAACGTAATTCTTTTCCTTTTCATTTCATCAACAACACTATACAACACTATTTGGACAACAAGAAAAGCACTGACTCATCTAACTCCACAACTAACACTAACGATATACAACAACCTGACAATAAACGTTATTTCAAACTACCTTACATAGGTGATTACTCACGACACACACAACGCAAACTCACACAAATCATTAAACGCTACTGCACTGACATTGACGTTAAACTTATTTTCACACCTTTTAAAATAAAATCTTTATTTTCGTTTAAAGACCCACTTCCCGAACTTTCCAAATCTATGGTAGTTTATCAATTTTCATGTGCGGGATGTAATTCCCGTTATATTGGTGAAACTTCTCGCCAATTATCTACCAGGATAAAGGAACATACTCACACAGACAAAAATTCCACTATCTACAAACATCTTCAAGCCTCTCCTTCATGTAAAAACAAATTCTCACCTTCCTGTTTTAAAATCATCGACACTGATCAATCCACTTTCTCACTCAAAATCAAGGAGGCTCTACACATTAATAAAACTAATCCCGATTTAAATATCCAAGTTCACCACTACAACACTATATTTACTTTATAATAATATTTTTTGTTATAAGTTCTTAATACTTATTTTTAGAACTTATGTTATAAGTTCTTAATACTTAATATTCATTGTAATTAATTTATTCATATTATATTACGTATCATATTACTTAACACTAACCATTCTGCACTGAAGATGGCATTCTGATAATGTCGAAACATGTTTGCTCTAAAAAAATTGTCGTTTTTCTCAAGTGTTTTATAAGTATAACAGAATTTAAAAAACATAACAGTCAATCTAGAGAAAGGATGGCTAATAGATTATCAATAAAAACGTTTACTATGTTTCCCAATGAATGCCTGATTTTAACATGTACTATGCAAATATTTTGTATTTAGTGACTGTCTAAACAATGAAATCAAGTTTCTAAATAAGAAGAAAGATAGACAGTTTAAGGCATGGTTCTAACATAAAAGTTATCACATTAAAAGATTAGAAATGAAAAATTAGAAAACTCCAAAAAGAGGTATTCAAGAAATAGGTAACAAGAAAAATATATGATTCGGTAGAAGCAGTGTGAAACTTAACACAAAGAATTCGGTCATGGAAACTCTGATATAAAACTTCATATACATAGTATAAAATACAGTAGTAAATATGCATGAGAAGCTATTAAATTTATTTTCTTTCGGCTTATCACTAATCAGGGGTTGCCAAAGAAAATCATCCACAAGCTGTTATTACCAATCATAATAATTCAAAATGTACATAAGTATACTAAATGATAATATTGAAAGAAGTTTTTTGTCGTGAGAGTTGTAGCTAGTGCAAACAACATCATATAGATAAACTGGTTGATGCTGAAGGAGTGCCAATAAAGTATGAAATATAGTATAGGGTGAAACACAAGTTGAAGTAAGTATGAAGTGACTTGTGTATCATCCTATAATAAATTTTACAAAAAACAATAAAGTTTTTATTATATTATCATACATATATCATATGGAAAAATGAATGCATTCTTCTGGAATATGTTATTATCATATTGCGTAAATGATAATTAGGACCATTACATTTAGCAATACTACCCATTGGCAAAGAATAATTAAACCACAAAAAACTCTGATACAAGGCAAGGTACCTAACATTTTCAAAGTAGCCACTAAAATCTAATCTGAACTACACAGCCAAACAATATTATAACCTACACATAAAACTGAAAATTTGACATTACTTATCGTTGAAGAGTTAAAAATAATTGATAAATTTTTACCTGAACAGGCGATTAAATTTCTGCTCACAAAAAAAATCGTGGGGAGCTTTGCTAATTGCTTCTTGCTTCTTTATACTTCTTGATAAATCTTTATCTACCGCCATTTCTTAAACGGTTCAACGTCACGTGACTTTTTCATACTTCAGCACAGCATTCTATGGCTGAGAAACAGCTCTTTAATAACCCTGTATGGTCCCCGAACTCCCGTTTAGCATATCTGCAACAATCACTAAACCAAATGAGTTGTGATTAAAAAAAAGATGTGGTCGATTAAGGGTTCAATGCAACAAACAAGGCCGTAGCTAGAGCCTTATTGTATACGAGAATGGAAAAGGTCTGTAAATGTCAGCTCTCATGAGTCAATAATTAGTTATATTTATATATATTTTAGTTAAATGTTCCCACTTCTAGGCTAAGAATGAGCTCCTTTCATATATTAGGCTGAACTTCAGTTCGCATTTAACTGTAGACACCGTTGAAGCGCAAGCAATTAGCGCTCAAAAAAGGCTTCTTATAATTTCTCTTAATATAGACTTACAACTGCAGACTTACAACTGCAGACTTACAACTGCAGACTTACAACTGCAGACTTACAACTGCAGACTTACAACTGCAGACTTACAACTGCAGACTACAACTGCAGACTTACAACTGCAGACTTACAACTGCAGACTTACAACTGCAGACTTACAACTGCAGACTTACAACTGCAGACTTACAACTGCAGACTTACAACTGCAGACTTACAACTGCAGACTTACAACTGCAGACTTACAACTGCAGACACAACTTACAACTGCAGACTTCAACTGCAGACTTACTGCAGACTTACAACTGCAGACTTACAACTGCAGACTTACAACTGCACCTGACTTACAACTGCAGACTTACAACTGCAGACTTACAACTGCAGACTTACAACTGCAGACTTACAGACTTACAACTGCAGACTTACAACTGCAGACTTACAACTGAAGACTTACAACTGCAGACTTACAACTGCAGACTTACAACTGCAGACTTACAACTGCAGACTTACAACTGCA